TTCAAAGCCGCTCTGACTCATGATCCTTTGCCTGTGTTATTCTCTCTTTTCTGGAAGCTTTGTCTCTGGTGTTCTAAAACTTCAAAATCATGTATCTTGATGTGAGTCTTCCCCATTCCTTGTGCTAAGCGGATCTTTTCACTTTGGAAGTTGATTTCCTGCTATGCCAAGAATTCCTTGTGTTGTTTCTTTGATAATTTACTCCTTTCTATTTTCCCCATCTTTTATTTCTTCAACTCCCTTCATTAAAAAACATTTACTGAGGACCTACTATGTGTCTAGTTTTGTTCTAGGTAGTGAACAAAACATGCGAAATCCTTGCCTTGGAGATGTTCACATTTTAAGTAGATTTTGGATGTTCTGCAGTGATCTTATACATTTCACTTTTTTTCCTCTCCAATTTCCATTTTTTTGTGTTTTTCTTTCCATCTTTCTTGAAGATTCCTCAACTTCATCTTCCAAATTATTAAATATTTTGCTCCTGCAGTAATATTTTCCATTTCCAAGACCTCTTTATTATTTCATGAGAGCACATCTTCCCTTATCTCTCTGAGAATATTTTTAATAGTTTTATTTTTGCTGCTTGCATTATCTCTATACCTCTAAATTTCTTTGTCCCATTTATTCGTTTTGGTCTGTTTTTCATGATGAGAACTTTCTTTCTCACCTATTCATATTTAATTTCACAATTGAAATGAATTTTCCTTTTAAAGCAGTTACATGCAGTGATAGCTTAACTTTGATGGTGTGGTATTTAAGAGAGAGCTGCCTTTATTTTAGATGGAATTGCATTTTTAACTGAAAACATTCTCATTGCATACTTTGATCTTCTCAACAGGAAAGACAATTTGAGAGTTGACTATTTATATGATGAGTTTGATGGAGCCAATTAAGATAATTTCAGGTCAATAGAAAAAAATAATTTAATATATGTTTCTCACTTAGCTAAATCACAAAGTTGGCAATCACTCATCTACTAAAGCTACACCAAAAAAGTCCAGAGTAAATTCAATCTTCTTCTCAGAGAAAAAGTGCTATAAATTTTACTCAGAACTCATATTTTAAAACTCCATTAATTATACAAAATAAACTGAAGTGACTTTATCTATATAGATTCCAAGATTATCTTCTGAGCATGAATAAAGATTTATTATAATGTTTCATTATAGATACTCACCTACTTATATAAAGAATTAATACATTCACAGCATTGTCTCTCAGGCAGTAGTTAAAATGAGAAGAGACAGTTCACCAGATAGAATTTATATTAAAGTGAGACTGTCGCAGAACCCAAAGTACATCTTTTCATAAATATAGATTTATTCAGAAATTTTCTCTTTGGAAAAGAGAAAATACCTTACTTAAATATGTGAGGACTTATATGTGGAGGATTAAATTTTAATGTTGAATTAATTTAATGTTGAATATATGTTACATTTATAAGTGGAATAATTTTAGTGGACTAGATGATAATAGAAAAAGGTAATATTTACTGAGTCTTAGCATATGCCAGATACGCTTCCAAGCACTTTATAGTTTCTCTCATTTAATCTTCACAACAACCCTTTGAGGCAGGCACTATTATTATCCCCATTTTATAGATAAGAGACTAGTAAGTGGGGGAGCTGGGATCAAACTCAGGCAGCTGAGCTCCAGAGCCAGCCCTCTCAGTGACTAAGAATCTTTCTTGTGTACGGCTCTAGCACAGCGGAGAGAACACAAAGAAACAACAGACATCTTCCCTAACTTCCAAAGGTGTCTATTAGTGTGCTTTGGTTGCAAGAAATAGAAATTGATTCTGGCAACTCAAGCAGAAGGGAATTTATTGGAAGCTATGTGACAAGCTTACAGAATCCATAGGAAGGCTGGAAAAGCAGGCTTGGATACACGTGGAAAACAGGACAGATCTGGAGGGTCAGGGGCAAGAACTGCAGGAAAAGCTGTGGCATAGGTCGTCTGGTCAGGATACCCCCTCAACTGGGATGCACACACTCCAAATATTTGCAGCCTTCTCCCCCCATGGCTTAGGACAGGAATTACGGGGAGGGAGTGTTCAATTGGCCTAGCTGGACCCAGCTTGGATCAGGGAAGAGGGTGAGGGCCTGAATACCGTCTCGGCAGACTGTATCCAGTAGAGAAGAGGCTACTGCTCTGAGAGCCAGACTTCTGGAGTCTAATATCAGCTTCACCACATACTGAGTTGGGCAACATCGGTAACTGATTAATCTCTCTGTGGCTCAGTTTGTACCTTTTTTTTCTCTTTGAGGAAGATTAACCCTGAGCTAACTACTGCCAATCCTCCTCTTTTTGCTGAGGAAGACTGGCCCTGAGCTCACATCCGTGCTTATCTTCCTCTACTTTATACGTGGGACGCCTACCACAGCATGGCTTGCCAAGTGGTGCCATGTCCACACCCAGGATCTGAACTGGCGAACCCCAGGCCACCAAAGCAGAACGTGTGCACTTAACTGCTGCACCACCTGGCCGGCCCCCCCAGTTTGTACTTTTTTAAAACAAGGATAAGAATAATATTGATCTCTTAGGGTTGTTTAAGGAATAGACAAGTTAATACACATGAAACTCTTAAAAGAGGGCGTGGCACATAGAAAGTCTCAGATAAATGTTTACTTTGATTAAATACAAAATTAAGTATAAAGAGATATATTAATTATCAATTAAATAAAAGGAAAAGGCAAAACTGTTTTTGTTTCCCTTCCTCTACCTCTCAAAAAACTTTTAGAGGGGCCAGCCTGGTAGTGTAGAGGTTAAGTTCACATGCTACGCTTCAGTGGCCTGGAGTTGGCAGGTTCGGATCCCAGGCAGACCCAGCACTGCTCATCAAGCCCTGCTATGGCGGCATCCCACATACAATAGAGGAAGATTGACACAAATGTTAGCTCAGCCACAGTCTTCCTCAAGCAAAAAGAGGAAGATTAGCAACAGATGTTAGCTCAGGGCCAATCTTCCTCACTAAAAAAACCCAACCAACCAACCAAACAAACAAACACTTTTAAGTCTTTTGATCAGAATAAAGATATGCCTCAGGAATGCAACAATACACTGGGGAAATTATCTTAATATTTTTCCATCTGTGTCATAGTCTTTTATTTACATTAATTTTGCTTTCTCCAAATTTGCAAAAATTTTCATCTGGGCCCCAGTGCTGAGAGAATTGGTAGGCTTTTCAGTGATAAAAAGTCTAATGCCAGTAGGAACATGAAAATATGAAAAATAGAACTGTCTCCAGTGGTCAAATTGTACGGAGTTCTGAGTTAAAAACTCAAATGCTTCCTATGTGTTCCTTTGAGCTGGTCTGGGAAATGTATTTTTCAGAACTAAAGTTTTGACAAGTTATAAATCTTCAATTCAGAGATTTATTTAGAGAAACATGAAAAAAGGATGTGCATGTTTATGAGATATGACTGAAATCGTTTTTTTCCTCCCTGCTCCCCATGACTGAAATAGTAAATGTAGTTGTAGGAGCTCTAAAAATCTCATTAGTTGGGATTAATTGCGGGGGAGTATTCTGAATAAATAAAATTTATTTATTAAAAATTTAGGAATTAAATAATAAAGGAAAACAGTTTATTATTACATAAAGTCTCATCATATCAAATAAAACAGATCTATTTGTAATTAGCAGCATTTCTTACATGCTCCTAATTATAAAGAGTCATTTAGAGAACAAGAAAAATGAAGACATTTGTTCTCCTAAGCGGTTTAAATACCACCCTCCAATATCATTTTCTTTAAAGACTGTTCAAGAGTAAGTGTTATGCCAGTCCAGGTGAAGTGATCACAAATTATGAAAGAGGGGAATTTAGTTTCCAGGATTGTTAACCTATGACAGATGACAAACTATTTTCATCTAGAAGGTCAGCCTCAGTGTGTCCATTGTAGCTCCCAGGAGTGCTGTGTTGAGCAGCATTTTGAGATCCCATTTAGGGTCAATGGGAAGGAGAGCCATGATCAAGCAGTGGCTTTTGCCAACCTGGGCAGGAAGAAGTGGTGCCATCTCTGCCAGAAGCTGCTATCCATTTGAGAGCTCACAGGCCCTATTTTAGAACTTACAGAGGGAAGAATGGAACAAAAGAAGTGAAAATATGTGTAGAAGCTAAGAAAAAGAAGCATTTGGAGAGTAAAAAAAGTGAGGGGCAATGAAGGGGTAGAAAACTGACAAAAAGAAAAAGGGTCTAGTAGTTTAATTTTGATATGTAAAGCGAGGAGAAAATTATAGGAGTTTTCAAAATTTCCCTACCCAAGGAGTAGTGGGCAAAAGAGTAGATTCTTAGGTACTATTATTTTAAAGGTATAATTCTTTCCTTTATTATAAAAGTATTCCATGTTCATTGTAAATTTTCAGAAAATAGAGAAAAAAAATATTTTCACCTAAAACCCACCCATTCTGCAGGCATCAGTTTGCATTTGAATGTTTTTGAGAAGAAGAGGGCTGAAGGCAATGAGGAAGCAGAGTGGTCAGATGGGGACAACAGCCTGGTGGCTCCAGCTAAAGCTTGCCAGACAAAAGCCACCAGGAATACAACTCTTGTCAAATAAAGTTAGCTTTGTAAGCTTGCAGCAAGGGAGAATGCACACTCCGGGACCGGGGGGGATGTCCAGGTTAAGAACAAGTTGGGAAGGTCTTGTTAGGATTTAGGTTTGTGCTGGTTGATTTAGGGGGGAGCAAGGATTTGTTCTAGATAGGGTTCTGTTGAGAAGGAGGGGCAATTTGAGATTGGGTATCTTAATTTTTACCTAGGAGCATAGAGTCACTCACGTAGCTAGAACACGGGCGCATTTGGTTATTTTTGTGGTTGTTTAATGCTCTTATTTCTATCCGTGTTCAGATATGATTGTGATTATTGTCTTGTTCCACCATGGTCACAGAATGACCTTATCTGATTATTGTTACTCTATGAAACTCTTTGCCTTCAGCGGGGGGACACTATGACCAGCTATTAGCTGCCAGCTATCAGCTGTCAGGGCCAATTTTTTCTCACCTTCTCGGTTATTAATCTTGGATTCAGACTGTGCTTGAGTTTCCATGTGGGACTCCATGGTGACAAAGTGTGATCAAGAACATGGAGAGGGATATTCCCCTGTTTCTGTGCAGTTGCCATGCAGCACTTTGAGAGTTTGCCGCTTCAGAAATGTTCTTGGCCTGATAGCAGCATCCTCTCCAGGGCTGGGGTGGGGTGAGAGGGAACTGCTGCCCTCCAGTGACTTCCTGAGGAATTACATCGGTGACTGTATGCCAGCTCACGCAGAGGGCTCCTGAGGACTTCCACAACACCTCAGACAGGGACGAACAGGAGGAAGGTGGACTTACCTGGGAATAAGAGACAGTAAAATTTCAGATATTATTGTTAAGGTGGCCGCATCAGTACTCTCAGCTTGGTGAAACCTGGAGAAATATGGATTACATGAATCGTAGGTTTTCAATGAGAACACATAATAATCAGAGAAAGTATATGTGTAAGATAGAAGACTAAGAATTTAAACATCTATGTTGGACTGAAAAATAACAATGCAACCTAGAAATGCAGAATAATTAAAGGTGAGGGAGTTATAAAACTTTTTAACATCAAAGGTTAACATTTTACTTAAGTTGGAGAGGATGTTGAGAAACTGGAACCCTTGTGCATTACTGGTGGGAATGTAAAATGGTGCAGCTGCTGTGGACAACAGTAAGACAGATCCTCAAGAAATTAAACACAGAACTACCATATGATCCAGTAATTTCACTTTTATGTATATGCCCAAAGTAGAGACTCGAACAGATATTTGTACCTACATTCACAGCTGCATTATTCACAATAGCCAAAAAGTAGAAACAACCCAAATGTCCATCAGCAGATGAATTGATAAATAAAATGTGGTAAAGACAAACAATGGAATATTATTCAGCCTTAAAAAGGAAGGAAATTCTGACACGTGCTACAACATGGATGAATCTTGAGGATGAGATAAGTAAAATAAGCCAGACCCAAAGGATAAATATTGTATGATTCTATTTATAGGACTACCTAGAAAAGGCAAATTCATAGAGACAGAAAGTATAAAAGACGTTACCAGAGATGGGGGGGAAAAGGGAGGGGGAGTTATTGTTTAATGGGCACAGAGTCTCTGTTTGAGATGATGAAAAGTTCTGAAAATAGATAGTGGTGATGGTTATACAACATTGTGGATGTACTTATTGCCACTGAATTGTACACTTAAAAATGATGAAAATGGGGGCCGGTCCCGTGGCCCAGTGGTTAAGTTTGTCCACTCCTCTTCGGCAGCCCAGGGTTTTGCCAGTTTGGATCCTGAGTGTGGACATGGCACCCCTCCTCAAGCCACACTGAGGTGGCATCCCACATGCCACAACTAGAAGGACCCACAACTAAAAATACACAACTATGTACCGGGGTGGGGGTGGGGGGGGGGTTGGGGAGAAAAAGGAAAACTAAATCTTTTTTAAAAAGTTTTAAAAAAATGATTAAAATGATACATTTTATGTCATATATATTTTACCACAATAAAAAATTTATGTAAGTAAAATGGATTCATTATTTTATCTTTAAAGACTATGAAATGCTCCTTTTGTTTGCTCTTTTAAATTGTTTTTTGGACTTTATTGGATGATTTTATTATACAAAGAGTACATTTTAAGGGCATTGCTATTATATACTTTAAAGTGAGGTTATAATTTTATGCACTTAGGCACAAATTCTTTGGATTTTTCCTATGGCCAGATGAAATTAAAATTGAAGGCTGGAGGTTTCCCACCCATCTTTTAGAGAAATAGCATCTGAAAGCTTTTCTGGTGTTTTTTTATTTACCAGGTAGTTCTTGGTCTAGAGGGTAAATTTAAAGATACTGTAAATCAGCTATTCTCAACTAAATTAATAGTTTGGCTTGATTCATGATTACTATATTCAATTTTGATTATAATTAGAGAAAATAAAATGATTCTAAATAAAAGCATATTAAAATTAGTTCTCCAAATAGCCTTAGAGTGGAAAATATTATTTTACTGCGGTTGAAGTTTGAAGTTTTTCAAACACAGAGAAAAGTGTATATTATAACAGGGGAACCTGTGAAACTTCCCAAAGAGTTCAGCTCAGGAGACCTGAGTTCCAATGTCCTCGGCCTTGTGTGAGCCCAGCTATACCCAGCACAGTGCCTGGAACATGGTAGGTGGGAAGTAAATTATCTGCTGAATGAGCGGATGATAAATGAATGTCATTTCCTCTCTCTGAACCTCAATTTTTTTCATCTGGTTAAGGAGGGAGTTGGACTAGATGAGTGGGTCTCAACTCTGAACATTAGAATAACCTGGAGAACTTTTAAAAATACCAATGCTGGCAGCCTTAAAAAGAAATGAATTCTGACCCATGCTACGACATGGATGAACCTTGAAGACATTATGCTAAGTGAAATAAGCCAGATACAAAAAGACAAATTTTGTATCCTTCTACTTATATGAGGTACCTAGCATAGTCAAATTCGTAAAGATGGAAAGGAGGATGGTATTGCTAAGGACTGGGGGGAGGAGAGAATGGGGAGTTATTTTTTAATGGGTACAGAGTTTCTGTCTGGGAAGATGAAAAAGTTCTAGAGGTGGATGGTGGTGATGGTTGCATGATAACGTGAATGTACTTAATGCTGCTGCACTGGACACTTGAAAAGGGTTAAGATGGTGAATTTTACATTTTAGGTATTTTACCACACACATACAAAAATACTGATCCTGGGCCCACACCAGACCAACTGAGTCAGATTTCTGGGGACGGCAAAGAGTCGGGGCCTGAAAATGGGCATTTTTTTAAAGCTTCTCAGGTAATTCGATGCACAAGGAGGGTTGAGAACCCCTGACCCAGATGATGTCTAAGATTTTGTTTTATATCAACCATCCATGATGCTGAGTAAGATGACCCAACAAGAGAAAATGAAGACTGCCAACATTTTGCCCCGGTTTCCTAAACACCAATAACTGCCTCCTTGATAAATTGCCTGGATCCAAATTGCTGATGGACTTACACTGATTTCTTTCTAAATTATTTTTTTTCTGTTTAGTAATTTTACCTCTTTTCCTAAAAGGAATTAATCTTTTCACAAAACTTCATTGGACAGATGTACAATTCTCCACTCAGTTAAGATTTACAGAGATAATAATAGATTCTAATATAAACTGTTCTTTTAGAGAATGCTGTATGTCCACATTCAACAAGATATTTCTTTGCCTAAGTCAATTTTTTCTGAAGCCTGGTTTTTTTTTTTTTTTTTGGCTAATCTCATTTTATTTTTTATCCAGGTTTATTGAGATATAATTGACCTACAAGAAGCCTGACATTTCTATTTCAGTTGTCACAAATATCCAAATAAGTTTTTAACCGAAGGCTTTATTTTAAAGTAATAATTGTAGAATAATTGTTTTTTTCTGGATAAAATTATTTTAAAATAATGATCTGTAAACATTGAAAGCGATTAGAAAGTTGCCAATAACGGAAATTTGAAGTGACACAAGAAAAGGAAAGCATGGGTTATTTTTCCAGAAATCTTATTTTTTTATAAAAGAAGGATTGTTTTCAAATATTTTGTTGTCTTGATGCAATAATCACAGGATATTAAGCCAGCCTACAAAACCAGGGCTAAACCAAGTTGAAATGGAGAATATTTTTAAATGTTTCCCATCTAAAAGCAGAGAATTAATGCATGGAAAATAAGAAGTAAGTGCTTTTTGTTCTAGGAGATTTTTTATATGTGTTACGTATAAACACTCCAATGAGTTTTGAGTAAAAAATTGTTCTTAGCAAAACAACAAGCTGAGTGAGTTAAACTTCTAGAAGTCAATATTAATTTTTTTGCCTTTCTTTCCTTTAGAACTTCTGATTTGAAATTTCCTCTTTAAAACAGGTGTGATAACATTGTAAATTCTCAGGGAGCGGTGTAGCTTAGATATGCTGCATACCAACTCCAGCTGTGAAATTACTGAACCAATTTGCACTAAAACAAAGGAGTCTATTTTTGCGCTTTCAAACCACATCAGATACTGGCTTCTAAGTTGTTGAGACAAGGCATTTATTATTATTATTATTATTATTATTATTATTTTAAACAACAACCATTTATTATTGTTCCTGCTTCTATAGTTCAGCTAGATGATTCAGTTCATCTGAGCCAGGCTTGGCTGATCTTTTTCTTTTGGTGAGGAAGTTTGGCCCTGAGCTAACATCTGTTGCCAATCTTCCTCTTTTTTCCTGAGGAAGACTGTCACTGAGCTAACATCTGTGCCAATCTTCCTCTCCTTTTTGTATGTAGGATGGCACCACAGCATGGCTTGATCAGTGATGTGTAGGTCCATGCCTGGGATCTGAACTCGGGAACCCTGGGCCGCTGAAGTGGAGCGCGCAAACTTAACCACTACACCACCAGGTGGCCCCAAGGCATTTATTTTAAATTCAGTGCAGAGCAATCAAAAGTCCTGATAATAAAATGTATGGTTTCAAAGAATGAACATACTATTCTCTCTCTCTCTCTCTTTTTCTTTCTTTCAAAAAATGCTTACTGAGCTAGCCCTGATGGCCTAGTGGTTAAAGTTTGGCATTCTCACAGCTTCGGCAGCCTGGGTTCATTTCTCAGTTGCAGAACCACACCACCCATCTGTCAGTTGCCATGCTGTGGTGGTGGCTCATATAGAAGAACTAGGAGGACTTACAACTAGATATGCCAGCATGGGACTGTGGGAAGGAAAAAAAGAAAAAAAAGAGGAAGACTGGCCACAGATGTTAGCTCAGTGCAAATCTTTCCCTGCACACACACAGAAACCTTCCTGTACACTTATCATGTGCCTTTGCTCATGTCTATGAATATGAAAATGATAAGTCACACTCCTTGCCTTCAAAGAGTTCACGATGAAGTGGAGGAGGCAGACAAATAAGAATATAATATGTAACAATAAACATATAAACAAGTAAACATATAATATACATATACAGTATGGTTAGACACACACAGGATGTTACAGAAGCACAGAAGAGAGGTGCCTGAACTAGGAGGAGAGAGAGGAAAGGAGGCAGAGAAGGCCGCCCTGGAGCAGGGGACATTTGAGCAAGCAGTATTCTTTTGACTTAATATAGAGGGTTCCTAATACTTTGTGATTAAATACACATTTTTTAAGTGTTTTTGGGTTTTTATATTTTATACCTAAATGTTTAGTTCTGGTATTGTATAGAAAACATTTAGTTTTATAAAAACACAGTAGAAAATTTTGTTTTGGTTTCAACAGAGAAAGTGTCAAGAAGGAGGTGATGGTCACTCCAGTCTTTCCCAGCCGGTTCCCTGGGGGGCCCACCTCTCTACCTAGGTTCTCTCATTTGGGTTCCCCCGCTAACATGATCACATCTACTCCCAGCAGAGTGGCCAACACCCTTTTGCTGAGGACCAAAGAAACCAGTCTCTCACTCCTTGTAATATGCCACCAAGTCTTGTCTAAGGAAAATTAAAAATGAATTAATTTCAATAAATAGAAATAGTATAAACCTAATATACGTTATGCTATAACAACATATAATTAATATGCAAATAATATTTAATATTAATATATACATACAAAATACTATATAATTGTTATATAAACAATATATAATATAGAAACATAATAAATGTAATATAAATACAAGTGATATAAATATATAAAAATATGAATCATATAAAGCATCTGTAGTAGTAGTCTAAAACGCATCTCCTAAAATCTAAATTTCTTCGCACAGTATTCCAAGATCTTCATAATCCAGCCCCCAACTTTCTCTCCTTACTCTTTGCTGTTTCTCTTTGTATCTTTTGTGCTCCAACAGTGTCTAATTGCTTTCAGCATCCTAAATAGGCCAGTGCTTGCTCACACTTCCACACTTGAAAACACAGGGTCTTGAGGCCGGCCTGGTGGTGCAGTAGTTAAGTTTGCACGTTCCTCTTTGGTGGCTGGAGGTTTGCCAGTTCGGATCCTGGGTGCGGACCTATGCACTGCATGTCAAGCCATGCTGTAGCAGGAGTCCTACATATAAAGTAGAGGAAGATGGGCACAGATGTTAGCTCAGGGCCAGTCTTCCTCAGCAAAAAGAGGAGGATTGACAGCAGATGTTAGCTCAGGGCTCATCTTCCTCAAAAACAAAACAAAACACGAGGGTTCTCCTGCTGGGGGATGGAATGCCTCCTGTCCCCACACCTTCTCTTGAGCTGTCGTCTCCTCATCTCCTCTGAGAAGCCATCCTTAACTCCCTAGGCTGGGTAGAAACCCTTCCTTGATCTCTCAAAGCACTTGGGCACACACCCAAACTTTCCTGAATATAAGACTCAACTACGGTGTTTCTTAAAAAGCATATTTCAAGATCTCAGAATGTCCATGAGAGAAACCAGACAATCTGTATATTTAAGTCACCCAAGGGATTCCCATTTTCAGAAAAGTTTTGGAAACATCTCTCTATATTATAGAACTCCTCATATTACCATTATTTAAATTATCTGTTTTTCAATAGCCTGCCAGCTGCATTTGTTCATTTTTGTATTCCCAGTCCCACTATAATGCCCAACTCATGGAAGAAAGCAAAATATGAATGAACGAAAAATCCAATATTTCTTATCATAAGTGTCCTGGAAACACTGGAAAGCACTTTTCCGAGTTCTGCATTCTCTCTCTCTCTCTCTTTTTTTTTTTTTTGAGGAAGATTAGCCCTGAGCTAACTGCTGCCAATCCTCCTCTTTTTGCTGAGGAAGACTGGCCCTGAGCCAACATCCATGCCCATCTTCCTCCACTTTATATGCAGGATGCCTACCACAGCATGGCTTGCCAAGTGCTGCCATGTCCACACCAGGAATCCGAACTGGTCAACCCGGGCCGCTGAAGCGGAACGTGTGAACTTAACCGCTGTGCCACCGGCCGACCCCTGAGTTCTGCATTCTTTTATTCCAGGATAACTACACTTTCGCCTTTGTTAAGTTGTTCTTAACTGTGTTGGTTCTTCCTTCTTAACACCTTGGCTAGTCACTTATTTCCCACTGTCCAGATGCTACCCATCACTGATGTCGGACTGATGCTGGGATCAAGCCTCAGTTTTCTCCATATGAAGTAAGAATGTTAACAGTGCCTATCTCATAGGTTTTTTTGTGAGAAGTAAATGGAATAATATATGTAAAACACTTAGCACTATGTCTAATTTTAAGACGTGCTAAATAAATGTGGTAACAATAATGACAAAAACCAGTCAGATGCTTTGAGCCATTTCCTTGAAGCGTATGCTTTAAGACTTTAAAATCCTTTCCCCTGTTGCCACATTTCCACATCCTTTCTGATTCAGCCTCTCTTCCTCTATCACTATGATAACCCACATTTCATGGCAAAAGAGAGTATTATCAAGAGAGATAGAAGAATCAGCATGCTAACACAAACTTTGTCCCCGTTTGGGAGTTTTTTCTTGGAGGTTTTCCCTAAATATTTGTCTTTCAAGTTCTTAGCATCTTGTAATGTTTAGTACTTGCCCATGAGCACTGATTTTCAAATGACGAGAACTTCAGACATCATCTTGGTAACCTCCTACCCTGAGATGTCTAGTATCAGTACATCAATACCAAAATGTCATCCATTATGGGCATCTACTAAGGGTAAGACAATGGCCAAATATTCTGGGTCCAAAGAGACTTCAGGTTATCAGCTGTTGACTTTATTTAATAGACAAAGAAATGCAAATAACAGAAGTCTATGTGTTTGCCTAATTCTAGACAATAAGGAGAAGAAGTATTAACCCAAGAGATTTGGCTGCATGCCCAGGCTGCTTAAGTGATAATCCAGAATAACTCTCAACTCCGAAAGACTGGTTATCCCATCCCCTTTTAAACCTCCTCGCTCAGCACATTTTTCCCCTGCTAAAGGTCAGTCTCCTTTCAAATATAATCTTTACCTACTTTAAACCTTCAAATTCCTTCAGGAGCTTCCTACTTAAACTTTTTTTTTGAGGAAGATTAGCACTGAGCTAACTTCCATGCCCATCTTCCTCTACTTTCTATGTGGGACGCCTACCACAGCATGGCTTGACAAGCAGTGTGTAGGTCTGCAGCCAGGATCCGAACCAGCAAACCCTGGGCCACCAAAGCAGAAAGTGCAAACTTAACCACTATGCTGCGGGGCTGGCCTCCTACTTAAACTTTTGAGGTTAACTCTTTTTTTTTTTTTCAAGATTTTATTTTTCCTTTTTCTCCCCAAAGCCCCCCGGTACATAGTTGTATATTTTTAGTTGTGGGTCCTTCTGGTTGTGGCATGTGGGACGCTGCCTCAGCATGGCTTGATGAGCGGTGCCGTGTCTGTGCCCAGGATCCGAACTGGCAAAACCCTGGGCCACCTGAAGCAGAGCACACGAATTTAACCACTCGGCCACAGGGCCGGGCCCCTGAGGTTAACTCTCGGAACACAATGAATTTGCAGTTTTTCCAAGTTGTGGCATCTGCTCCACCCAATTCTGTAAGATTCAGATCTGGGGGATCTCGGACAAGGTGTAGGTCTAGGGGGCGTGGTCTCACCAAATTCTATCCATCTTAGGTCTATGATGTAACGATACTTGAACTATAGACTCTACAATAAGACACAAGATACTAAAAAAAAAGCCTCAAAGCTGTGACATTTTAATGTGAAACAACCATAATATCAACACTAATCTCAATGCATTATGGCCCTTAGCTCATCTTGAGACACACTCAAATGTGTTTTTTTGGGAAATGCAACCTACTAGCAACATTTCCTTTTTTCTGACTCACTTCTCAAGTAAATCAACTTCCTGTGTCAAATGACTATTTGTCTGGAATAAATCTGCATGTCACTGTGTGTTCTGGTCCGTGTGGCCCCTTCGGATTCATAAAGCATTTATTGAGTACTTACTGTGTGACAGATATGGTTCTGTGTATATTCTCAAACATCTTATTATTGTCCACCTCTTTTTATGGATAAGGAAACAAAAACTTAGTACGGCTAAATGTCTTGCCAATTTTTCAACATAATTCAAAGTCTAGTGCTACACCATGACTTCCTCTACCAAGATGCTAAATGCAAGATACCTTTGTACAAAGAGGAATTGAGAAATACAAATTTTTTTCTTGTGTTTCACAATTTTTCCATTCAAGAAATATTTATTGAGGAATAGTTATTGAGTGCTTACCATAAACTAGACACTACTCTAGGCACTAGGAACGCGTGGTGAACAAAGAATGTTGCAGAACTCACATCTAAATGGGAGGAGATAGAAACAAACAAATGCCAGTTGATAGTACGTAAGACAGCAGTAAATGCTAAAAGCTCCACATTGCTCAAGCCAGTAATAAATCTCCTGCCTTCATTTTCCTTGTCCCAGCAATCAGCACCTTTTGTACCTTTTACAGTTAGTTGATCATTTCTTCCTTGAAGCGTTTTCTTCACTATATGTGAAAGCAGCTACTTCAATAGCTGTTCCTTCTCAGCTTTCTTTACTGGTTCCTCCTCAGCTCTCTGACCTCTAAATGTGGGCGTGTCCCACGACTCAGCCTTCATATTCCTTCTCTGTCTATACTCGTTTCTTTCAGTCTCACAGCTTTAAATACCATGTATGCACTGATGACTCCCAAATATATATTTCTATCCTAGTCCTCTTCCCTGAATGTCTGAGGGTCTGGTCTTGGATATCTAATAGGCATCTCAGACTTCATAAAACAGGACTGTAATTTTATTCCAAATTTCTGGTTGCTCAGGCCACAAACCTTGGAGTCGTCCTTGACTCCTCTATTTCTCCTATCCCTGCATCCAATTCGTGAGCAAATCCCATCTGCTGTAGTTTCAAAATATACCCCATATCTGTCCATTTCTCTCCAATTCCACTGCTGCCACCCTGAGCTAGCCACCATCATCTCCCATCTGGAGTCCCTGCTTCTGCCCTTGCTTCCTCCATTCAACAACCAAATTAATTCTTTTAAAATATACCTTATCCCATGTCATTCTTTTTCTTAAAATCTTTCAGTGGATTCCCATCCTACATTAAGTAAAACCATAAAGCTTCCATGGGTATCCAGAGCATGCATGGTTTGAACCTGCTACTTCTGTAACCTCATATTCTACGCGACCTCCTTGCTCATTGCACTCCCAACACTTTGGCCTCATTGTTCTGCAAGCATATGCCCACCTCAGGGCCTTTCCACTTGCTGTTCCTTCTTCATGGAACCCTCCTACTGATTATCTCATGTCTCACTCCCTCAACATATACTTAGGTCTCTGCTCAAAGTCACCATATCAGTGAGTTGTTCCCTGAGTACCCTATAATACGTCCTTCCCCTTACCCAGCCTTATTTTTTCCCCACAAAACTTATCACTAATTGACATACAATGTCTTTATATTTACTTTTTTCCTTCTTCTTTTCTTCCCCCTAGAATGTAAGTTTCGAATGTAAGTTCTAGGCCAACAGGGAGTTGCCTGTTTTGTTCGCTGCTGCCCTCCCTCCTACACTGGAACGATGTCTGGCACACTGAAGGTACTCAGTATTGACTGACTGAATGAATGACTATCAGGAGTTAGTTATTTTCAAGTGATAGAAAACTAGACTCAAAAGATCTAAAAGAAGAAAAAAGGAACATATTGGCTTATGTAACAAAAAGTCCCGGAATATACTGGCTTCATGTATATCTGGAGTCAGGGGCATAAATGTTGTTATCAGAACCACAGCTCTCTTGTTACCTCTGCTTTTCGTCTCTCAGTGCTGGCTTTCCTCTCAGGCATACATTTATTTCATGGTAGGAAGATGGTGACCAGCAGTGTCAGGTTAATGTCTTTATAGCTCCAAGCAGAAAAAGAAAAGGTTTCTCATTCTGATCAGTATAAAGTCCTGGGCCTGACCTGCACTGGCCTGGATTGGTCACATATCCCTCTCCCCCAAACCAATCACTGTGACTGAGAACGCAACAGTCTGGTTAATGGGGTGCTGTCACATGGCCCCTTCTGGAGCTGAGGGTGGAGCCAACCCCACAGAATTCCATGGAGGAAAACCATGATGCTGTTAGTTGACTAAAGTCAGTGGTTGCTGGGTTAGCAAATTATGACTGTCCATTCCATCACCCACTGCCTACACCAGGCAGTCTCTGAAATAGCCGTACAGCAAAATCGTGGCAGTGGCAAGATTGGGTGAGAGCCCAGCCTAAGCACTGGCGTGGGCATCCACAGGGAAGCTGTGGGCTGGCTTTGCTCGCATGGGTCAGCCACAGTGCGTTTGCCGTTTTGGCAGGACAGTCTAGGGGTGTGTCAGGGTCCTCACAAGGTGACTCACAGCTACATGAAAATTTGAAATATGAGGACAAAAACCAAATATCCAGGTTGTTGCTCATAAGTTATTGCCGCTTTGAGCATAAAACAATTCCCAGCTATAGCTTCCTCCTCAGTAAAATGCAAATAGTAATACCTACCTCATAGGGCTACTGTGAAGACTAAAGGAGGCCTCCTGAGAAAATAGCCGTTCCAACGCCTGAAAGAGAGCAGTCATCTGCTAAAAGTTAGTTTCCTTTCCTTGGACTTAACCATGCTGCTGTATTTTTACATAATGTCTGCCAGTCATGTGTTACAACAGACTTAACAGCCATTAGTTACCGAGCACTCACTGAGTGCTGGAGAATGGTCTACGTACTTTACGTACAGAGATTCATTTAAGCCTCCCAGAACCCTTTGAGGAAGGAAATATTATCCCTCGAATAGGAGAAGAAGCACAGAAAGGTTAATTAACTAACCCAAAGTCACACAGCGAGTTAGCAGTAGAACTGGGTATTGAGCACAGGCATTCTGACTTCAGAGATGATGCTCTAAACCACTACAGCATACAGGCTCTTCCTGAGAGTATCTATTGCATCCATTTTTAGGTGTTTATTTTAGCTCACCTACCAAAGGCTGCCATACAAATAAGCACTTAAATAATACTTCTAAATATGATGGGGTGACAGCTATGCAGCCTTTCCTACCTCCCGTCAAGAAACAACAGCTGCAAGGAGTGCACTTAGCTGAGAGCTCCCAGCTGCAGCACCTTCAGCTTTCGGCGGCTCTCCCTGGGTAGCCCCCAGCCGGTGATGGCACAGCAGGGACTCTAGGGCCTGGCCATTTCTGCTCAGCGCAGCTGTCCTCCAACAGACAGTCTTTGCTCTGGAGCTCCCTGTGCGTTGGCTGAGACTTTGTCGGGTCCGCACAGTGTTCTGATGCTCTCCCTACTGGATCCTGCTTCCTCCCTTTTACCTTTCACAGATAATACCTGCTCCTCAATAAAGCACTTGCATTCCTAACTCCTCTGCTCCCAGGAGTGGTCTGAGAAAGCAGGTGGTAAGAGGGAGTGTGAGGACTGGACAGCTCACCAGCTGGTGGGTGAAAAGGATCCCATCCAGGATGGTGTGCGGGGCACAAAGAGTTTGTGGCATAAGGTGGCAGCCCAATTGCTAAAACCCTCACTGGTAGTGACTTGGGAGAATGTTTCAGTGGAGAGAAACGCCCTGGCAGGTGCAAGAATTCAGACTTTTGAAAAGTATAGGGGGTTGGGTCTGGGGGAGGACGGGGACAACACATATAAGGACGGTGAATTGGTTGGTTATTATTAAGTTGCATTGATGCTCTACTGGGAGATGATGAAAAACTCGGGACCATTAACAAACAATTGAAAACTAAATAAGAAGGCAAGAGAGGCCCTTATTCCTGCAGTGGGAGAGCAGACAAAGCTGAAACTCAAACTCCAGATTTAATAATTAGAGTTGCTGAGCTTCCAAAATGATTCATGCTCAGCTGAGTCAGTCTGTTATGCTACGGTCAGCGCCCTGGTGTGTGAACCCTGGGACCCTGACACATGAGATGGGGCATCGGAACATGTCCCTGACTATTTTGACTCCCTGGACTCCTCTGAAGCCTCAGAGGCCACAGAGGTGCCCCCTCCCTCTTTAGAGCTGGCATTGGTTTGAAAAGCCACTGTAAAGCCTCAACCTCACAAGACAGTAGGGATCCCCCTTAGCATCTGCTTCACCTCCCCTCCGGGCTGTGGGGTCAAGAACTATGCAAAGTTGCAGCACAATTCAGCTGGGTCTGATATGGGAGGAAAGCGACCATCCCCCACTGGAGCTGCAAAATCGAGCCACATGTCCCCACAGGAGCCAGAGAGAGCTCATAGGACCGGATTTTGTGTGCGTTTAATTAAGGGGGACAGAACATGACACTGGTTAAAGGACAGTTTATTGACATTCTATATCCCTACTCTCCCAGGATATGGGATTTAACACCCTGGCAGGGGTGCCAGGGGATGGTGCAAACTCACTTGTTAGGGTGGCTCTTAGAAGCACAGGGAAAGCAACAGTCTACTCTGGGTGAAGTCAGAATGAATTGCCCTGACAGATGGTAGAGGAAGGAATCAAGAAACTGAGGGAAGTGGGCATGTTGGAATAGATATTTTATGTGAGGCCACAAGACCCACCAGAGGATTCCATTACACACGTAGGCCCAGAGTACACTTCATTTGCCAAAAGCATCAGGAATATGCTAGTGAGAGGGGCCCCAGCCTCAGTAAGAAGTTCAGTGGTGGCTAGGGGTGCCAGTAGGAGAGACCGTCACAGAGCTCGGCTCACGGATGGTAATGGGCCTAATGGGGCCATTGAGGCCAGGGGACAGCATTTAACCACCAGAAAGTGGGGGGATGACACACAATTACTGTAACGACTGACAAAGTGGATTGTAGCCAAGGGGGCTTGACCCAAAGAGGGTTGTGGAGATGGTTAATAGAACATGGCATCCTAAAGGGCAAAATAGATGGACGGCCAATGTGGGCATTGCTTAATAGAAATAATCCAAAGAAAGCAAGATTGGAGGAGCAGGAGGCTGAGAGTGGTTACCCTAACAAAAAGTCAGGACTGCGGAAACAGCAAGAGCTCCCTTTGAACTATAAGCCATGGCTCCTGCCTGGATGCTTTTGGTTCCTTGTGTCCAAGGATGAGCAGGCAAGAAAAAGAGTTACTGTCTTGGCAAGAGTAATTGGCTCTGATTAGCAGGAGGAGGTAGGACTGTTGTTACAAAATGGGGGCAAGGAGGAATGTGCATGGAACTCTGGGGATTCACTTGAGAGCTTTGTGGTACTCTCTTGCCTAACTAAGAATGTATATGGACAAGTGCAGCGACCCAAGCCTGAGAAAGGTATGGTTACCAGTGGCTCAGACCCCTCAGAAACGAAGGTTGTGTTCCACCACCAGGTAAGTCACTAAGACCAGTGGGATGCTAGCTAAGGGCAAGTAAACTTAGAAAGGATAGTAGAGAAGGGGGAGAATGAGTGCCAGTTGCGGCCCCAAGACCAACTGCCAAGACGAAGGCTATCGTTTGTCCACCAACCTCCCTCTTCTAAGTTTCTCTGCAAGAGGAAAGGCCCACTGGAACCCTGGAGGAGCTGCTCCCCAAACGTGAGTGAAGAAGTGGATCTACATGGTGCAAGGGGCTGACTGTCGCAGTCAGAAATATGCACCGCTTGGATCTAGCTTCAAGAGAGAACTTCCATCCCCCGCAAGGAGAGCAATTAGCTGACAACCTCCAGTCACAGCATCTTCAGATGTACCTCGGTTTTTGAGCTGAGGCCATGCAGGTTCTTCCTGAATAGGACCTAGACAAGTAACTGAATATGGTGAAAGAACTGGGGCCTCACTATTTCTGCCCAGCATGGATCTCCACTAATAGGCAGTCTTTGCTCCAGAGCTTTCCACGGAGCTGGGCAAAACTTTGTCAGATCTGCATTGTGTTCTGAGACGCTCCTTGTTCAATTCTGTTTCCTCTTCACTTTTCTTTCACAAGTGTCAGATCCGCATCATGGTCCAAAGGCTTTCCCTGTCCAATCCTGCTTCCTCCCCCTATTATCTTTCACAGGCATTCACCCAAATCACCTGCTTGTCTCAACTCCATCTCAGCGTCTGCTTCCTGGAAGACACAACTGACACAGACGGTTACAAAAGATGACTTCCTCCCTGTGTTTAGGGAAGTAACTTAAACTCTCTAAGCTTCAGTTTTCTCAGTATAAAATGAGGATATTATTACCTCTCTCACTGAGTTGTTGGGGGCCTTAAATATATAAAATATTTAGGATTTTTATGAGAATTAAATGAGAGAATGCATGTAAAATGTTTAGCAGACAACCTTGCACATTTGGTAAATGTTAGCTCTTATGCTAATGGAAGAGATAAGGCAGACTGTGAATAGGAATTCTTTAGCTGTCTTCCATCCTGGTAGATATGTTCATTTGCCAGCAGTGGAGAATTGTTGTTATTTTTTTCCCATTACCATTAACATCTTCACCTGCAGTAGGAAAAGAAGTATTAACTATGTCAAACCAAAAGGGTAAAAATAGACCCCAAGTACAAGTAAAGATAATGGTTTTTAGAAACGTGATTTTTTATTGATATAATGACAATTAAAATTGAGATGGAAATTGAATTGTGATTATGTGACTGAATGTAAATCTACCTGTTAAAACATGAAGAACAGTATACATTTTCCATATCTAAAAACTCTAGTACAAGGGTGGGTAATTTATCCTCCTGCAATGAATTTCGATGTAGCATTAGCAGGTCCATTACTATGATACATCTCAGTTTTGAGATACATTTCAATAATGCATGGTTTCCTTTTTAAACCAAAACTTTTAATTTGATCTCATTCCCATGTATAAACATGTACACATCTGTTTGGGCTAGAGTTTTCAAAAAGAAACAAAGAATACCATTAGGAACTTTATCGAAAAGATTAGAAGAGTCTAACTCAGCAAAAAATATTTATCAGCCTAGTGGCTATACCCTGCCTGTGATGAGGTTTATGCTGACTTTAAGTCATATCTGAACTCGATTTACAGTACAAGGCGTTTATAGAAGTACTTATTGCTTCCTCTGGTGAGTTCTTCAGCTAATGGAATTTTAAAAGACATGTAATCTGATGGATTTACTTAATTATATTCTGTATTTGATTTCAATGGAGAAACCAATCATTACAGTGCACTAAGCCATGAGATAGAAATAAGCATCCTTTAGGAGAGTAGCTGACACCCTTTTATGTTTAATTTGGTAATTTTCTGACAGCCATGTCATTTTCTGCTTTTTCTTTTAAAATTAATTTTGAAGAAATTTTCTTATTGCAGGTGGACAGTATGAGGATGAAAAATTCTCACCCCATGGAAGCATCCAGAGTACTTTATTTAACCTTTCCACCAAGAACCCACCCCCTGACTCAGATTAATGAATTCACAAACTTGAATGCACAGGCTGTTTCCGGAAAAAATTTTTTTAAAAAAACTTCTGCTGGTCTAGTCAAGTTGAACGTAAATGCTTACCTTTTCCATTTCTTATAATATCATCCTAAATTTCTGTTCCAACAACTGTTCTAACAATCTCCTTCATGATCAGTTGAATATAAAATCATAAAGACACACCTGCACCAAAATAACAAACACATTGCCCTCACCCTTCTGCTTTAAAAGACATTAAAGCTTAACATTATATAGTCTACACATTCCATACCTACTCATTAGTTGCTATTTCACAAACATAAAGCCAGTGGCATGCCACGTAACGTTTCTTCCTGTTCCGCTGCTCCTCCCTGCAACCATGTAGAAGCTCTTCCTACCGCTGTATTTGCTTCCAACATTGCACACATTTTCTGCTCCTGCTTAAAAATAA